AGACCGGCATTTTATATGAAACAAATTAATAAAAACGACATCGCCTTGGTGAACAGAATTTTTGACAAGAAATTGAAGATTTAGATTTGCTAATACATTTCATAATAACATTAACAAATACATTTTAGCACCACAGATACATGACGATTATTCTTGAGCATCGAATTTAGATGTAAATTATACTCGTGCTAATGAAAAATTGGCATTTGAAATATCATGAACAGTTTAAAAGAAGACTATATGAAATCGAATATACAACTTACTGGATGCGAATATGGCATCAAAGGTCAGTAGTTACTTTGCTGTCACTAAATCTCTCTGAGTGACAGCACCATAGTGCGGAAGGTCATCATAGGTCATTCAGAGACAGCGACTGTCACCCATTCCTACCGTCATCTTGAAGAAACTCTGTCTGTCTCTCTCTCTCTCTCTCTCTCTCTCTCTCTCTCTCTCTCTCTCTCTCTCTCTCTCTCTCTCTCTCCTCTCTCTCTCTCTCTCTCTCTCTCTCTCTCTCCCTCTCTCTCTCTCTCCCCCATCTCTCTCCATACATACATACATACACACACATACATATATATGCATATATATACACATACATAAATACATACATAGACACACACACACACACCACACACACACATATATAATTCATTATCAGCGAAACTGCTCAGTTTTATATGAAAGACGACAGTTTCTTTAAATTATGCAGAAGTATTCCTCGCCTCTATAAAGAACCCTCCTGAACACTCCTAGTAAGCACTGATATGAACACCGGCGAGTTTGCCAAACCTCACAAGCACACCTGCGCGAGAACAAGATTACACGATAAGAAAATACTCATGAATGTTTTATTATCAAGAGCAGATCTTGGCCTTGCCACCTGGTATGTATGTTGAGATCAGATATCAGATATGTTGAAGTTTACTTTGCCTTCATGAAATTGTATCACAAGAAAGGTAGAGGGGGAAAGAGAAAGAGAGAGAGAAGAGAGAGAGAGAGAGAGAGAGAGAGAGAGAGAGAGAGAGAGAGAGAGAGAGAGAGAAGAGAGAGAGAGAGAGAGAGAGAGAGAGAGAAAAGAGTGTTATCTTTAGCTTTAATGTTTGGGCCATGGTGCTCTGTAAAACTCTGCAGATGAAACACTCAACATTTGTCATAGGCAGAATAGATCTCCCTACGTCCAATTTTTGTATTCTTCACACACTCCGAACTCAAAATCATCCTACAAGACATTCAAAACAAGTCCCATAACCAACAATTTTATTTTTTTTATTATTTTTTTTTTTGTGGGCTGACGTCTGCCCCGCCTGAGAATTCGTGCCGCACACCTGTAGCTTGTTGTGAGGTCCCTTCCGTTGTCAGGGCTAATTACCCGCCTCGGATGGTTATCTTGGGGTTCCTCGGGGGTTTTGGTGGCCGTGTTTTGGATTTCTGATGTGTGAGGTGTGTGTGTGTGTGGTGTGTGTGTGTTTCTGTGTGTGTGTGGTGTGTGTGTGGTGTGTGTGTGCTGTGTGTGTGTGTGTGTGTGTGTGTGTTGTGTGTGTGTGTGTGTGTGTGTTGTGTGTGTGTGTGTGTGTGTGTGTGTGTGTGTGTGTGTGTGTGTGTGTGTGTGTGTGTGTGTTGTGTGTGTGTGTGTGTGTGGTGGAAGAGAGAGAGAGAGAGAGAGAGAGAGAGAGAGAGAGAGAGAGAGAATTATTAGAATGATTGACTGAATCATGTTTGAATTTCCGATATATCACTATACAAGGAACAGAGAAGCTGTGTATGTAGATAAATAGCGTTGTTGATAAATTGGTCGATGGATAAACATAGAAAAACATGCGGACAGAGATCGAGAAAAAGATAGAAATCAGATTTACGATATTGTTTGACTAATCTTGATGTTAAGTAAAGGATGTTCCAATACAAAACAACAACAACAACAACAAAAACACACAAAAAAACCGAAATAATGAGAACTGTATAACTGAGAAAATTATTCCTATATCTGAAACGAAAACTGACGTATAACCTTCTCCATATATTTTCCCATATGTTTTTTTTTTTTTTTTATTAAACATAATCTTCCAGGTATCTCCAAGACTTATTAGACAAGATACATTCTTAAGTAATACAGACGGGCGCCAGCAATGACCCTGTTCGGCGCCGAGACAATGACTGTCTAGACCAAAGATGTCTGCGGGCTAAGTACTGTCCATATGCGAACAATGTACGCGGTTCAAATAACATTACTTGTGAACGAGATAGAAATACTCACTCATAAATCATTGAAGACATAAAATTCTGAATTTTGTATCGATGAGAGATAAAAGGTATTTTGCTTAATATTACAAATAAGAACGAAATGGCATTTAAAATCATTTATAACGTAAGGTAGCGTAGGAGCGTCACCCTGGTCAACGTAATTTCGACTAGACGATTATCGTTTTCGCTATTATTATTTTTATTATTATTACCGTTATATAACCTATAATAATAATAATATAATGATAATAATAATAATAATATAAATTAATAATTATAATAATAATGATAAATAATAATATATAATGATATATAATAATAATATAATAATATAATAATAATGAATAATAATGATAATAATAATAATGATAATTAATAATAATAATGATAATAATGAAAAAATGATAATCATTATCATCATCATAATTCCTAATTATTATTATTATTATTATTAATTAATTATTATTATTATATAATTCATAATTATCATAATTACTATCATTATTATTATTATCATTATTATTATCACCATCCTTATTGCTATATTATTCATCACCATCATCATTATCACTAAAATTATTATCATATTATTATAATATCATCCATTACCATCATCATTATTACATCCGCCAAGGAGGTTATGTTTTTGGTAGCATAGGTTAGTTCGCTAGCAAGACAACTCAAAAACTTATGAAAATATTTTTATGAAGCTTTGACCACCTTAGATGTCATCAAAGTTTGGTGGTGATGCAAATCCAGGAAAACTAAAAATTTTAAGAACAGATTTTTATGATTTTTCTACCTACCAGAGTTGTGACTTCACAGGATTACTAAAAAGTTATATATATATTATATATATATATATATATATATATATATATATATATATATAT